TGTATTTTTAGTAGAGACGGGGTTTCACCATGTTGACCAGGATGGTCTTGATCTCTTGACCTCGTGATCCACCCGCCTTGGCCTCCCAAAGTGCTGGGATTACAGGCTTGAGCCACCGCGCCCGGCCCAATAGTAATTATTAACATTCTTTTTGACCACTTATTCTGTGCCAGATACTTTATACAGATAATCTTTCACAACAACCTCATGCTAGAAGAGTGATTACCATCTGCATTTTACAGTAAAGGAAACAAAGACTATCCAGAGTCATGCAACTAGGGAGTGGCAGAATAGAAATATGAACTCAAGCTCTCTGAGAGCAAAGCCTGAGCTCAAAACCACTGGTTCTCTGCAATAATATGTAACAGCATCCAGGTTCTGATGACCTAGATTCCAGGTAAGCTGGGTTGATACTGTGAATGGCCTCAGAAACACAGCCTTGATGGAATCTTGCTCACGGTTGAGGAAATAGGATATAGAGGAAGAGGTTAATTTTCACAAGGAAATATTCCCAACTTATAAATTTATAGGAAACTACTACCTAAAGATCAATTCTTTAACATAACTTCAATATTTACTGAAAGTTTATATGCCAGACACAATATTAAGTACTGGTAATACATAGATAAATTTTCTATAAACTGTCTACCTCAGCATTTGTGCTAGGCATGAAAGAGGACAATATAAGACCTATGAGCTAACATCTTTAAAAAAATCTAGTCAGCTAAAACATTTACAAACATTTCAATAATAAGAGTTAATTAGAAACACATGTTCACAGGTCTGTATATAATTAATTTCCATAAGTGGAACAGACCAAAAAATACTACAAATTCAGAAGATTTAGAAATCACTACGGGCTGGAGAAGCTTTAGGGAAAGGAAGGAATATACATAGGACCTTCCTTTAAGGAGGCACGAGATTTAGAAAAAATAGGTAACAGAAGACAAGTTAATTCAATGAGAAGAAAAAATAATGTGGACAAGGGTATCAGGCACCAGTCCAAGAAAACATAAGGCATGTTTCAAGGGATAAATGAAGAAACAGTGTGAGTAGAAAAAAGATTTTGCATATGGACAACGTGGTTGAAAGGGCAGGAAGAGGCAAAACTATAGGGATAACTGTATTATACATAGCCACAATAAAATATGTTAAAGCCACTTTTATACTTTGACAAATATAATCTATAAAAATAGAAAAAAATTAAAAAATTCATAGTGAGATTTGTAATTTTTTTCTATCATATATATATATATATATATATATATATATATATTTGCTAATAAAAAAAGTTTGAACAAGTTGCTTTGGACAGGAGGAAGCAATTTTACTTAAAAGTCTTTAGCTAGAATGACATGAATGAATAGCTTTTAAAATCAAGTAAGAGTAAGGATGGAGGAAGAGATTAACTACAGGATAAAGCTAAAACTGAGGGTACAAAGGTGAGCTAAAGCCTGAACTAAGGAAGCATACAAGCACACAGGTGGTTAAAAGTAACAGAAATGTTGATGATGCTACCTTGAGCAATCTTATCCACCCACAACAGGACTAGCTGGTTTCAAAAACAAGTGAACATTATTTCTGACTGCTGTTGATTTTTGACATACAGGTGAGAAAATCTGAAAGAATGCTACACCCATGATTGCAACTGTGTTCTGCTCCTCCTTGAGGTTTAGTCATGCTCCATGACTAGACCAGAAACTTAAGTAACCATGCAGCAAACCCTGAAGATTAAAAAAAAGAGAGCACAAGCTAATTAGACTTAGTTAGTTAATTTCACACACAGGGATAGTTGATGACTATACTTGGCTGTCAGTTAAAGTTTAGTTGATCCTGGACTTTGCCCAGATATCCTACAATTACATGTAGGATGTGAATATTCTAATTTTAAGTTTAATGCTATGCAGTGTGGGCACCTTGATGAAATGAAGTGATGCTTCAGGCAGATTATTCACCTGTGCCTCTGTGTGGTGCTATGGTTTGCCACTCCACTTTTTAAATGATCAAGTTTGTACTACCTGGCTTGCCTTCTGCATTAAGAAGTGATTGACCCAAGGTGAAAGAGCCAGTAAGTGGCAGAGACAGAACTGAAGATCAGATATTAGTAAAAGTCCAGTGGTCTTCAAATAACAGTCTGAGTTTGAAATTATAGCTGGTATAGTCTGGCACAGACCTACTGTTGTTTTATCAGTCACAAATCTTTCCACAGCTACTCTGATGAAGCCCATATTTCTCTATTGGTTCACACCAACATGAGATGTCTGTCCTATATCTTACTATAATCCAAATGTGTCAGCTCTAGGGCATTCTTCTCGATCCCACTATCTTTTGCTGAATCTTGGTAAATACCATTGCTATATCCAATTGTATTGGGTAGTCAATTCTCAGAAATCTATGAGGCATCTACCCTTAAAGAAAATTAATCAATTTACAGTCAACTTGTTCAGGTTTCCCTATATATATATTTCATTAGTTTGTAGAAGCTAAGTATACTGTATACTTGAAGCTGGGAGTCATCACTATCCCTTGCTCCAGTAAAATGGGGCCAGCAACAGATGTAAAAGTTAATTCTAGTACTGAAATAAATACTTATATAAGAGTTACAGTAGATCAACCCCAACCTAAAGCAAATCTCCTATCCCTCTTATCAAAGAGGCCCTGCCTTCAAAGTATAACCAAATATAGCAAAGCATTATTTATTCAAATACCAAGTATGATTTTAGTACAAATAATTTTAAAAACACATTTTATCACCAAATATCACAGTATAGGAAGTTAGTAATAACTACATGTGAGAAAAAGTAATTTTTTATAACTCAGATATAAGTAGTCTGGGTTTTCAGACAAGGCTGGGGGGCTGGGAGCTGCAGGGTGGGGTAGAACAGCACAGATAGAAGCTAAATTAAAAACAAATTCACTAAATTTATTTTTGACTGAAAAATGCCAAACAACCAATCTAGGTTTTTAACAAACATTTTGAAGATCCACCCCTAACTTCCTTGTTTGAGAGGTAGAAAGTATAATTTTAATTTTTCACAGAAATGAGTTTGGTTTTCCCAGATTAATACCCTATCCTGCTTCCTTTTAGAGTACCACAAGAGCCTGAAATGTCATACTGTATTTTTATAACTACAGCAGTGGAAGCACTCTATTATACGGTAAGCAGATGACGGCAAGCAGGGAATGTCATATTCCCAGATGATGTTTTAAACATGAAAACATAAGAGAGCTATTATCTTTCCTTTACCTGTACTTCCTTTTCCTTTCCTTACTCAGGATAAAGAGTCTAAATATAGCCAAATAATAAAGTTACTATTCATTCAAAATTTTATCCATCCTTGAGGGTCAAACCTAACTTTTACTTTCCCCACAGGCCCATTTCATTTCTACAGAATGAAATGTTTAATGTTTACAGAATGTGATCAGAATGTTTACATTCTGTAAACATTATCTTTACCATAGGAGACTATTCTAAAATTCTTTCATCTGTTAATCTTACCTCTCCATCAAGAACATAAGCTCAAGGATATGCATTAAACTTTTAGATTGCTGTAATCCTCAACTGATTACAATGTTTAATAAATATATCGATGTAAAAATACTGAATCCTAACTATATTCAGGCCACCATGCTAAGCAGGGATCATATCTGACTAAATTTCCACGGAATAATTTAAAACAACTGGAAAGATATAGGAAAGAAAAACGACAGTTATATAGTAGATTTATTTAGGAATGTCTATGGTCCAGAGATTAGTGGAAAGTCTAATTCAGCTAAAAGCAGAGAACTTAATAAATTTTAGACATGTTGCATTGGGGCTGGGGGCGGTGGCTCACGTCTGTAATCCCAGCACTTTGGGAGGCTGAGGTGGGTGGATCAGTTAAAGCCAGGAGTTCAAGACATGCCTGGCCAGCATGGCAAAATCTAGTCTCTACCAAAAATACAAAAATTAGCCAGGTCACTTGAACCCAGGAGGCAGAGATTGCAGTGGGCGTGACTGCACTCCAGTTTGGCCAACAGAGGGAAACTCTGTCTCAAAAAAAAAAAAAAGAAAAAAAGAAAAGAAATGAAATATTGTGCTGGTATTTTCTCTCTCAGAAAGCAGAGGAAACACTAAACCTAATCTCAATTTAACAGAAGGGAACTACTTTATAAAGTAGAAGAGATGACAACTTTGGAAGAAGGCAATCATGACATCTTAGTGTTGGTGATACTAAGAAAGGAACACTGGGCATAGTGAGATATATGCTGTCAGAGTTCTGAGACACGATAGGTTGGATTATGAAAGAAAGATTTTAGGCTGGGCGTTGTGGCTTATGCCTGTAATCCCAGCACTTTGGGAGGCTGAGGCAGGTGGATCACCTCAGGTGAAGAGTTTGAGACCAGCCTGGACAATGTGGTGAAACCCAGTCTCTACTAAAAATACAAAAATTAGCCATGTGTGTTGGCATGTGCCTGTAATCTCAGCTATTTGAGAGGCCGAGGCAGGAGAATCACTTGAACTTGGGAGGCGGAGATTGCAGTGAGCCGAGATGGCGCCACTGCAACTCCAGCCCGGGTGACAGAAGGAGACTGTTTCAAAAAAAAAAAAAAAAAAAGATTTTAAAAAGGAGGAAGATGATTTTGGAATGATGCAAGCTCACAAGCGAAGTTATTACATTCAAAAATAAATGATTGCCTCCTGACTAGCTGCCTTATAAAAATTTGAAGCCATAGTAAAAGAAATCTATCACCAAAAAGCATGTCAGTCACCCTCTCCACTTGATCGCATTCCATCTCTATTGTGCAAAGAACTGGGCTCATCTTAAGAAATTACAGTCTGATTTTGATTAGAGTAATAATGCTTCAAGCAGAAAAAGCATTATTCCTGCTAAGTTACTATAACCTGCTCAATGTTATCAGTGTCATTTACGAATTTTATCTTGCAATGTAACTAGAAAGTAATTACTGAATAGAAGTTCTCCGGGCTCACCTGGCAAAAATACAGGGTACACACGCAGAGGGTGTGTATATTCCAGCAAGTAATATTCCATATAAAAGATATAATTGGTTCATCATGTAAATTTAGGACATTACAATGATGTTATAAGAATTTATCCAAAACTGAGATTTTTCTTAGAATATCTGTTAAAAGTAATTTTATTCAGTTAATAGAAACCGTATGGAAAAAATTAAGCTTATAAAGCTATATGTCCTTCTCATATTTGAATGTTTTATAAATATGGATTATTCTTATAATCAAGAAAAAATATTAAACAGTATGAAGACTTCTTAAAGTGTGTTTAAAAGCACAACTATATTATAGATTAACTCGGGTCAACAGTTTTAGGGAAATAATTCACTCAATCTAAAATTATAAAGTTAATAATAGGATTACATTGTTCTTAAATGTCATTAAATAAAGGAAACCACTTTTTATTATACATTGTTATGAAGTATTCTGAATTTTCAGATCAAACACATATCAATCAAAATATATATAAAAACAAAAATAATGTTTTAGATAATCCATATTGTTTATATTATATACAATTATATAAAAGTATATACAATGTATTATTTATTATATACAATATAAACAATATGGATTATCTAAAACATTAGATACTTGTTTATAATAAACCAACAACTGCTTACTGAGTATTATAAAATCACATTGAAGTAGTATCAGTCGACATGCTAAAATTGAATATATAGAGGACCTTTAAAAATAGGCAGTAGCCCCGTCCTAGAGAATATAATTTGTGTGATCAGAGTTAGTTGAAATCTTCGGAATACAGTACTGAGCACAGTTTTATACAAGTATTTTAAAACTATACTAAAGTTTGTCCTATAAATGTCTGCATGTTTATAGGAGGAATATTTAAGAAATATTTTTCTCCTTAATGATACCTTTATTAAAGTACAATTCCTGCCATCATAGACCTAATTGTAAAAGCCAAAACTACAAAATTTATAAGAGAAAATCTTTGCAACTCTAGGGTAAGCAAATATTTCTTAAAAGAACATACAGAACACAAATTATTAAAAAAAAATAAAGGCAACTGAATTTGATAAAATCAAAAATTTTGTTCACAAGATATATTGTTTTTCAGCTTTTTTTTTTTTTTTGTGAGACAAGTCTTGCTCTTTCACCCAGGCTGTAGTGCAGTGGTATCATCATGGCTCACTGCAGCCTTGGCCTGCTGGACTCAAGCAATCCTCCTATCTCAGCCTCTCAAGTAGCTGGCCTATAGGCATACGCCATCATGCACTGCTAATTTTTGTATTTTCTTTTTTCTTTGTAGCGATGGAGTTTTATCATGTTGCCCAGGCTGGTCTCAAACTCCTGGGCTCAAGCCATCTGCCCACCTCATCCTCCCAAAGTGCTGGGATTACAGGTATGAACCACTGTGCCTGGTCTGAGACACATCATTAAGAAAACATAAAGGCAAATCAGACAGAAAGAAAATATTTGCAAAATTCACATTTGATAATGGACATACAAAGAACTCTTACAACTCAATAATGAAACAAAACAAACATGTAAAAAAAATTTAAAAAGGGCGAGATAATATCCCTGAACATTGATGCAAAAATCCTCAATAAAATCCTGGCAAACCAAATCCAGCAGCACATCAAAAAGCTTATTCACTACAATCAAGTTGGCTTCATCCCTGAGTTGCAAGATTGGTTCAATATACACAAATCAGTAAATGTAATTCATCACATAAACAGAACTAAAGACAAAAAACACATGATTATCTCAATAGATGCAGAAAAGGCCTTTGATAAAATTCAACATTCCTTCATGTTAAAAACTCTCAATAAACTAGGTATCGAAAGAACATACCTCAAAATAATAAGAGCTATGTATGACAAACCCACTGCCAGTATCATACCGAATGGGCAAAAGCTGGAAGCAATCCCCCTGAAAACCAGCACAAGACAAGGATGTCCTCTCTCACCCCTCCTATTCAGCCTAGGAAGTCCTGGACAGGGCAATCAGGCAAGAGAAAGAAATAGAGGTATTCAAATAGGAGGCAAGGAAGTTAAATTGTCTTTGTTTACAGATGACATTATCCTATATCTAGAAAATCCCATCCTTTCAGCCCCAAATCTCTTTAAGCCGATAAGCAACTTCAGCAAAGTCTCAGTATACAAAATTAATGTGCAAAACTCATGAGCATTCCTATACACCAACAACAGACAAGCAGAGAGCCAAATCATGAATGAACTCCCATTCACAAATGCTACAAAGAGAATAAAATACCTAGGAATACAGCTAACAAAGGTGTGAAGGACCTCTTCCAGGAGAACTACTAACCACTGCTAAAGGAAATCAGAGAGAACACAATAAATGAATGCTCCTGGATAGGACGAATCAATATCATGAAAATGGCCATACTGGTCAAAGTAATTTATAGATTCAATACTATTCCCATTTAAGTACCACTGACATTCTTCATAGAATTAGAAAAAACTTTTAAAATTCATATGGAACCAAAAAAGAGCCCATATAGCCAAGAAAATCCTAAGTAAAAAGAACAAAGCTGGAGGCATCATGCTACAAAAGGTTACAATAACCAAAACAGCATGGTACTGGTACAAAAACAGACAGAGACCAATGGAACAGATGAGAGAACTCAGAAATAAGACTGCATACCTAAAAGCATCTGATCTTTGACAAACTTGACAAAAACAAGCAATGGGGAAAGGATACCCTATTTAATAAAATGCTCAGAGAACTGGCTGGCCATAAGCAGAAAATTGACACTGGACTCCTTCCTTACAACTTATACAAAAATTAACTCAAGATGGATCAAAAACCAAAAACTATGAAAACCATAAAAAAAAATAACTAGGAAATACCATTCAAGACATAGGGATGGGCAAAGATTTCATGCCAAAAATGTCAAAAGCAATTGCAACAAAAGCAAAAATTGACAAATCGGGTCTAATTAAACCTAACAGCTTCTGCACAGCAAAAGAAACTATCAGAGCGAACAGACAACCTACAGAATGGGAGAAAATTTTTGCAATCTATCCATCTGATAAAGGTCTAACATCCAGAGTCTACAAGGAATTTAAACAAATTTACAAGAACAAAAACAATCCCATTAAAAAGTGGGCAAAGGACACAAGTAGATATTTCTCAAAAGAAGACATTCATGTGGCTAACAAGCATATGAAAAAAAGCTCAACATCATTGATCATTAGAGAAACCCAAATCAAAACCACAATGAAATACTATCTTATGCCAGTCAGAATGGTGACTATTAAAAAGTCAAGAAACAAACAGATGTTGGAGAGGTTGCAGAGAAGTAGGAATGCTTTTGCACTGTTTGTGGGACTGTAAATCAGTTAAACCACTGTGGAAGACAGTGTAGCGATTTCTCAAAGATCTAGAACCAGAAATACCATCTGACCCAGCAATTCCCATTACTGAGTATATGCCCAAAAGAATATAAATCATTCTATTATAAAGATACCTGCATGCATATTTTCAATACAGCACTACTCACAATAGCAAATTGTGATCCAAATAGCATTTGGAATCAACCCAAATGCCCATCAATGATAGACTGGATAAAGAAAATGCGGTACATATACACCATAGAATACAATGTAGCCAGCCATATAAAGGAACAGGATCATGTCCTTCGCAAGCATATGGATAGAGCTGGAAGCCATTATCCTTAGCAAACCAGCAAAGGAACTGAAGACTAAACACTGCATGCTCTCATTTATAAGTAGGAGCTGAATGATGAGAACACATGGACATGGAGGGTGAGGGGGAGAGCATCAGGAAAAATAGCTAATGTATGCTGGGCATAACGCCTAGGTTGATCTGTGCAGCAAACCACTACGACACATTTACACGTTTACAATCTGCACACCCTACACATGTACCCTGGAACTTAAAATAAAAGTCGAAGGGGAAAAAAGGAAGTGAAAGATTGAATAGGCGTTTCCCAAAAAATATACTAAGCAAAAGTCATGGGAAAAGGAGCTCAGCATCATTGGTCATCAGGGAAATAGAAGTTAAAGTCACAGTGAGATACTGCTACATTCTCACTAAAATGACAGATTAAAAAGTCTGAAAATACCAAATGTTTAGGGGAGGTACAGAAACTGGAACTCTCATACATTGGTGGTGGAAATTTTAAATGGTCCATTTTGGAAAACAGTTTGGCAGTTTCTTATAAACATAAATGGGAGCTTTTTTTATAATAATACAAAACTGGAAAAAACGTAAATGTCTTAAAAAACACAAATGTTTTTATTCCCTCCCTTTTTAGAGATAAAACCAAAAAGAAATGATCTACTAATACACACAAAGACATGGATGACTCAAGCCTGTAATCCCAGCACTTTGGGAGGCCGAGGCGGGTGGATCACAAGGTCAAGAGATCGAGACCATCCTGGTCAACATGGTGAAACCCCGTCTCTACTAAAAATATAAAAATTAGCTGGGCATGGTGGCGCATGCCTGTAGTCCCAGCTACTCAGGAGGCTGAGGCAGGAGAATTGCTTGAACCCAGGAGACGGAGGTTGCGGTGAGCAGAGATCGCGCCATTGCACTCCAGCCTGGGTAACAAGAGCGAAACTCCGTCTCAAAAAAACAAACAAACAAACAAACAAAAAAAACATGCTGAGCCAAAGAGGGCAGACACACAAAAAAATACGTTCTATGATTCCATTTATATGAAATTTTAGAACAGATAAAACTTATCTATAGAAGTAGTTCTTAACTGAGGAAATTATGCCCTCCCTTTCCCTGGGCCATGCTGAGACGTTTTTGGTTGCCGTAACTGGAGTGGCATGGGTATGGTGGTGGTTGCTACTGGCATCTGGTGGGTAGAGGTCAGGGATGCTGTTAAATGTTCTATAATACACAGGACAGCAGCCACAGCAAAGCATTACCAGGCCCAAAATGTTGCGAGTGCCCAGGTCCAAGTTGAGAAATTCTGTTCTAAGAGATCAGTAGTGGTCTAGACGGAAGTGAGGATATTGAATCAAAGAATTCTGGGGACAATAAAAATCTTCTGTATCTTATTTTATTTATTTATTTTTGAGACAGAGTCTTACTCTGTTGCCCAGGCTGAAGTGCAGCGGCATGATCGTGGCTCACTGTAACCTCTGCCTCCTAGGTTCAAGCGATTCTCCTGCCCCAGTGTCTCATGTAGCTGGGAATACAGGCGCCCATCACCACGCCCAGCTAATTTTTGTATTTTTAGTAGAGAAGGGTTTTCACCATGTTGGCCAGGCTGGTCTCGAACTCCTGACTTTGTGATCTGCCCGCCTTGGCCTCTCGAAGTGCTGGGATTACAGACATGAGTCACTGTGCCCAGTCAATGTTCTCTATTTTAATTGTGGTAGTGACTGATTTGTCAAAACTCACCACTCTGCACACACTTCAGATGTGTAAATTTTACTGTATGCAAAATTTACTTCCAAGTTGATACTAAAAAATATAGTGCCTGTCAAATGACATAAGACTATGTTAAACACTTTGCTTTTTAAAATACATGCACAGAAAAGACAGGAAAGGCAAATACCATTAAAGACAGGAAAAGCAAATACCATTGGTGGGATTATAAATAATTTTGAATTTTTTGCCCTGTTGTTCATTTACTTAGTATTAACCAAAAATTTAATAACCTTATGTGTACACACACACACACACACACACACACACGCACACACATAAACACATCCAGTACCTAAAACAGGTACAAATAAATGAGGAGAATAGAAAAGCACAGGTGCACATGAATATTTAATTGTGATATTTGATCGTGAGACTTAAGTTATTTCAAGAAACTATAAAAATGTATAATGCAAAGGCACTTAGAAGTAAATTTTTATTCTAAAACACTGCTAAACTATTTAATGAGCTCAATTATAAATATAATTCTTTCAATACAAAAAGTTTGTAAGGAGGAATTTTCACTAGAAACAATGCTATAAAGCCCTAATAAGGCAGGGCAAAAAGGTTAAGAAATTCTTTAAAAGTAAAGGAATAAAGCTACCAAGTAAGGAATAATCCATTTCACTGTATTAATATGGTTGAAACCATAGCAGATACAATTCAGTTATGATCATCAACAGGCCAGGGACTGAGCAAAGTGTGAGGAATTTATTATAAAAATGTCTCTGAGGAACTGACCAATGGAGAAAAATGGTATTGTTAACAAATCAAATACAAATGGGCTAAAAGCTATGATGGAGGTTTGAAAGTGGTACAATGAAAGATGCCAAGCAACTACCTACGCCTGGAGGAAGGATTTACAAAGGTGACATCAGAGCTAGAGCTTGTCTGGTGAAAAATCATCAGATAATTTAGAAATTTTAAAAATAACACAAAACCCAAAAAACACCACCAGCATCACATAACAATTTTGTTACACTGAGGTCACATTTTATAGTCTTAAAGGTCAGCAATGAGAAAATCTTTTCCTGAAAAAGATTATCCTACATATTGAGTAAGGAAATAATAAGTACTGAGAAAATCCCATATCCAAGGGGGAGATACATTTAAGATTCACCTTGATAGAAAATGTACTCCCTGCGCTTCCACTATGTCTGTTTGGCAATTTAAGTATCTGGCACTATTCAAAAGCATAGTGACCAAACAAAATCAGTTAGGCTGCAGTTAAAGAATTCTATATAAATACATGTTAATATAGAATTAATACACAGCTTCATACTAAAACATCTCCATACGTTAGTAAGGGAATATTTAAGATGCCTCCCAAAAGGGAGACGCTGGGAATCCTAAAGTACAGTACATCTTTGACAATAAGTTTTCAAGCCATAAGAGATGCTTATAAATATATGGGGCAAACAATTACTCAATGCTGCTAAAAATGATTCCAACAAGGTAAAAAGGTCAATTTCTATCTAATGCGGAGAGAAAAGCCTGTAAGCTGGTGGGATGGTGAGAGACTGCTGGTAGAACCTGTCTGCCTTGCTCCTTGGATTTCCTGTAATTTTGAACCTTACTGAAATTAAGGCATTGAAACTGAATTTCAACAAGTTTATTTAAACAGAACAAATTCTGTGCAGCACAAAATCCAATTTTGGCGGTGAAAAAGTCGTCGCAAAGACAAAGGGTCTTCAGTACATCTGACTTTTTGGAGACAGCAGCAATATGTCCTATTCTTTCTCTCCTGACTCAGACTGAAAGAACTACTGCAGGCAATTCAGGTAACACTATTTCCTGGTAGTGTGATTCAGGTAATTGGAGAAAAAGGAAAAATGCTTAAAGCAATAAACTAGTTTAAAAGGCAGTCTTGTGGAGTCCTGTAACAACCAGTGAATTAGAAACTCTTGATATTTTATAGATACTGACTACAGCGGAGCCAGGAGCAAGTGCAACAGCAGGCAAAGGTTGGAGGCAGGCAGAGAGAACAGTCACTGTCTGATCCTTTTGCTTCCACCGCAAAATAGCGCCCCCACCCCAATACTCTCGTTTCCTAAAATGTCCCTATCCTCAGGACCCACCCAGAAATACCCTCTCCCCCCCACAGTAACTCCTTACAATCCCAACAACCCCGCCAGAGTGTGACAAACTGCGTCCACTTACTGAGCTGTCCCCCGCCCGACGTTGTACTCGGTTCCCGACCTCCAGCACCTCCAACGCCTGCTGCTCCAGGGACCCCTGGAGCCCCTATCCCCGGCGGGGTCCCACTTTGCCTCTCGAAGTTGCCTGGATTGGAGAAGTAGTCGCGCAGCCGAGGCAGCTCGCGGCCGCTCTCTAACAGCTCCGTATGCAGCTCCAGGGCGGTCAGCAAGTACTGATCGCGCAATAGCTGAGCCGCGATTGCATCAATTGACAATCTGGCTGGGGTCTCCCCGGCGCCCCCCAGGGCCACCACAGCCGCCGACGCC